TTTGGGGGTGTAGCAGCTCAAATAAATCATGTCATACTTAAAATTGATTAATTGTGAACACCTCTTTAATTGATGATGGAAAAAGTTTAAGCTTGTGATTGTTTTAGATACCTATTATTTTCACATTTTCTTGGTTGCAGTGGACATTAAATGCATCATCTTAATTTTGCAAATTTATTTCTTCCTGCAATTTTAGTAGTTTGTCAAAATTCTGAAGAGAGTTTTTATTTTCAGGTCCTAAAACTGTCAAACTTTACTCAAACAAAGAGAATATGGGATTTAGGTATCTTTTCATGGTCTCATGCTTTGTCTTGATCTGAGAATTCTTAAGTATTTCTGGTTCTGACCTCTGGTTAATATTTGTGGCAGTAATGTGAATGACTATCCTCCTAGTGATACAGTTGAGCTTTCAGCTGAAAATATAAAGGTAACTGATCAATGCTCCCTGTTTTCTATCATCAACTTTATTAAAAGATTTAACTCCATCTTAATAAAATATGTTTACAATGTGTAAAACTTTGTCAATTGCAGGGAAAGCCCGTAGTTTTGAAGTATGTCAAATTCCAAAATGTTCGCAGGTATGCTTTATTGCTGAAAAGCCTGAAATAGCTTTTCATATTTTTTTCTTCTGTTACCTTATAATAGCAGTAGTTTCACATGTTTTACTTACAAAGTTACAAATATGTTAAATGCTGGATATGTCTCAAATTCTTTTATCTTACTGTCAACTTTTTGTAAACTTTACTAATAGATATATAGGAAATTAATAATCAAAGTTATAAATGGGCAAATGCTAGAATCAAATTGCTACATATTTACGGAAATGAAGAAAAGTCCATAACCTTGACAATAATATGTTTTCTAATTTTTTTTGTTGGGATGTATGGACAGCTTAACAATTTTCATTGAAGATAATCAGTCTGGATCGGAGGTGACCAAGGTTCAGAAGATTGCTTTGTACGGAACAACGTAAGTTCATCATTGGTGTGAATGAATCTTGTGTTTCTTTGTAATTACTGTTTATTGATAACATTTTTCCTGACTTGTCATTCTGTTCACTGCTTCAATCTTGTTTGCATGTGTGTGTGTGTGTTATTCCCAGGGGGGGGGGGACTTATAGAAAAGCTCAAGTCGTTTAGACCCCAAAATGCGCATGACCTGTAACGACCTGCACCTTGTTGGGTGGTTGAGGTTATGCGGTCATCAGAAAACTTTAGGAAGGTGTCTGGTGATCTTCATTATATATCCAAGAAAGTAAGAAACGAGCCCGGTTAGAACTAACCATGTTTCTCTTTAGGTACAAAGCCTCATTTTTTCCAAAAAGTTAAATTGTAAATCAATGTTAGATTTTCATATATATAAAAGAAAAAGATAAGTGTTGGTAGTATGATTCTTTGATGACTTTACTTGAGATGGTAGCCACAAGTGACAAGCTACTTGAACCTGGAGTATCATAATGTGCACATCATGATCTACTTCTAGAGGAATGGGATTGCTAAAAGATCAGGTTACACTATCCATGAGCTCATTCAGTTGAAATGATGCTGAAAGAGAACAAGTGCTGTAAAGATAGCACTAAACTTCAAATGCTTTTGTACTGAAGGCCCATCAGACAATGAGTATCTCGACATGATGTGACTACAAAATTCTTAGTTTGCTAGTACTGACTAAAATTTCCATTATTTTTAAAAAAATAAAAATGATTTTTAAACTAGCGGCAATTAGTTCATGTGGAGTTTTGAGGAGGTCCAAATGTTCTTTTAGAGGAATGTCTTCGTGAACGCTCTCTCCCGGCAATTACCTGATGTACCACACTGCCATCAATATATAGTCTCTACTCACTACTGGCCACTTGAAGTGATAGGTTAGTGATGGGTTTGTGGAAATTGCCTATGCTTTAGCTCCTGAGTACATTTTATTTATAGGTCATCATTTGCAGGCTTGGACAGGACATGGTTCAGGCTGAGCCTCATTTGTTGTCCAACTAGAATTATAGGGCAGGGCTTGACATTTTTTCACGAGCCTGGCAGTGCTTCCCTTAACTATTTTTTTCTAAAGAAATGAATTGCCTGCAGGCTATTGGGCTTAGATGGCCTTCTATGCTTTCCCCACTAGTATCATCCATTTGACTCATGTATAATTTTACATCTAGTTCCTGTTCACTGGAAAAATTAAAAAGTAGAATATTTTATAATTTATCTTTCAATAAGAGTACTATGCATTGCTCATGATTTCATGAACACTGTTTGAAATGGTTCTTTGTGCTTCTCATTGTTTCTCTATACCCTTCCATATTCTATTTTCTAGAAGTCTGGGATTGAAGGAGACATCTGTGTTGATCTTTTATTGTAAATGTTTGTTGACTGAATTAGTCGGCTTCTTGTAATGACTTTAAAGCTGTTTAGTTCCCAAAGACACTTGCCTGTGATGGCATCTAGGTTGTTCTTGCTATAGAGCTGATAATGTATTTATGTATCTGACTTAATGTGATCTTATGTTTTGGTGGGCATAACTAGCTCTGAATATACACCCAATAACTAGAAATCTATAAGGAGTTTAAGAACCCCTAATCTTTTAAGGCTCCCTTTACCTGTGCACAAGGCCCTTTGATCAGTAAATTTTTAAAATATCCTAATGGGCCTTCCTGATGACTCTGAGTCTGTGCCTTAGTCAGGAGTCATGATCCTTGGTTTGATGCTTTGGGCCTTTGGTTCATCTATATTTCTGTGGTGATGTGCAGCAAACCTGTAATTTTATTATGCTATGCTAAACCAAGAAAATCTCAAGAATTCTGAATTCCATTCAAAATAAAAATAAAAAATTGAGATGCATCGATCAATCCCTATTATCATTTTTTACTAGCATTAAATTTTCAGTGTTACTGACTTCCTAGGGCCATCGTAGTTGGGACTAGCTATCTTGATGAAAATATGATGATGGATGTAAGTGTTTTGATTGTAAATGCTTCAGTTGAGAGGTAGAAACTAAACGATTGTTCAATGCAGGGTTGAGACAACAGATATGAAGGGTTTGAAGAAGATTGAGGACCAGCATTAATCTGGAGCTGGGATATAATTGAACAATTGACCTGAGTATTTTAACTTTCCAGTCTTATTCGGTTTTTCAATATTGGATTACACTAGCCATGTATTGGCTGTTTATGACGATTTATACCCCAAAGCTGTGACATCTTATGTGCTTGAGTGTCCAGGATGTGCTGCCCTTCATAGCTCTTTGATGTGCCATTTTTCACCTTATGGTCTGGTCTATGGACTGGACAGGTACAGGTTGTAACCCACATCATATGTGTCGAAACTGGTCAATGGTTTGATGTTAAGCGGAGTTTGGGTTCACAAACTGGTCCCATACTGGATCTTGGATGACAATATTATGTACTCGTAGTTTTCATTTCGTTTTCTTGCTTGTTAATTTTTCCTCATCAGGCCTCGGTCACTCTCATAGTTTCGAAAGATTATAAATTAGCTGGGCATAAACCAATGTTGGTCTAACTAATAAAAGTATTACCATTTCAAGTCAACAAAACAGATCAGCAAGAAAGCAAAGATAAACAAATTAAAATGATTGTGAAGAATCTGAGATTAGTTTAGTTTGGGACGGTTCATGTTTGGGTGTAGACAAGCATTGAGCCTCTAGCTATATTGGTCCTTTAACAACCAGGCAGTTGAACGATCAATTCGATTAGTCTTTGTTCTAAACATTTGATTAAATTAAACTGATTAAATTAAATTAAATTGATTGCAAGTTTGCAACTGATTTTTCTTTTTCAGATTAAAGATTAGTTTTTGCTTATTCCCTGTTTATATGTAGATTGAAACTATTTTTAAGTTAAATGAAACTATTTTTAAGTTAAATATATTTTGTAATCATTTTTCGCAAGACAAAGAAAATTGATGACTAATATTATTACTGACTTACCGAGTACTAATATAAACCACAAATATCTATATGTGGCTAGCCACATCGTGCGGTTGGGTTACTTTTTTTTTTTTTGTGTGAGAGTACGTAACCCCAAAATAAATAACCCTAAAATAAGTAATTCTAGCGAAAATGCGTTAACCTAGATTCAAACCTGTAATCTCCAACACACTAAGGTGATACACTTATCATCTCAACCAATTATTATTAACATTTTAACGTAACATTATATTTATATATTCCTTTCATTAATTAAGTAAATTAGATGTTATATAATTTATTAATTTTTCACAAGATTATAAAATAAATACATATATGAGGTAAAAAAAAAGACACCCGAGGCAACACCCGGACCACACGCTAGCTATACAAACAGTCGAATATAATTACAAATTAAAGAAGTACTACGTATAAACTAGCAATTTAGGGTATCGTCCGAGGCTCCGAGCCACACACTAATTTACTCATTAAAACTTATTTATATTATAAAAGTTAGCTCTAAGGTCTTGTTAGATTCGCCAATAATGCTACACATAGTAATGATTAGGACTTAGGAAGGAACAGTAGCAGTCTAAACTCCCTTAATAAAAGGTTAGGAGGGAATAAACAAAGCATGCATGGTACTCGAAGAAGCCTAGAAGCAAAGCACCAAATAAACAATGACTAATTCAAACTAAATACTTGTATATGGTAGGTGTGTACGTGTATTTTCTTGTCCTAAATACTAGCCAATATGGTAGTAGGTGTATATTTATATAGTTATCCACAATTTTCTTAATAATTTATGTAATATGAAATTATTTGAAACACCCAAGTTAGCCAAATTCCTGCAAAATATAATCAAACTCAAAAGATATTGTATGTCTGCATTGCACCTAATGAAATTAAACAATTTTTGGATCTTGTTTTATTCTAGAGTCAAGCCTTCACCAAATCGTGGGGAGCATTATATGATTACCAAACTAATAATTCATACCAACCTTATTATAAAATTATTTGTATATGTATATATAGATACATTTACAAATGTGACTAATTCATTTTTTGACATTAATTTGATTTTTTTTAGCTATTATACTCCTAAATCAGGGAAATTAACCCTTTTGCACGGCCATTTCATACACTACTTAAGAAGTTGACTTTAAATAGTGATTTTCTTCCGAAAATTATTTTGTTCTAAATTTTGTTGTACTAAAAAATGTTGGAGAAATTATTGGCAAAATGTTGTGTAAAGTTTGAGAGGAAAAGAGTTGGATTATGGGTGCTTTTTAGCTTTGTTATTGTCACCATTAGCCTTTGTACAGTTCTCAAGTCTTACATGGATCCTCAATCTATTTGTAAGTTTACATTATTATTTGCCTTCTTTTTGTATTAACTTATATGCATATATGAGTTTCTCCTATTGCTCGTTTGATGACTCGATCTTAAACATCGAAATCTTTAATTAAATTCGTGTTAGTACATTTTTAATGAACTCTTTGAAATACTTGATAAGCTTGTATTGTTTTTGTAAATTGGTTGTTTCACTTGTTAGGCATTTGATATGCATTTCAATATTTAACATTTTAACATAAAAATGTTTGTTGTATGGACTCAAAAATCTAGTTACATTAGTTCATATGATTATGATATACTAAAATGACAGTTTCAATACAACTTACAAGCTATTTTTGAATCTTATTTTCAGGGGAAATCAATTTGAAGAGGCTTAATTCCAACAATAAGAATACAGGTTGGTGCTATAACACACTAATTTCTTACCATTTTGAGGTTAAAAATCTTCTTTTTCTTTGCTTAACTACAATTGATCACCTCTTAATATTTTTTGTAGTTAAACTCGTTCCACACGACAGTTTCGAGCCATTCCTAGCACCAATGTGTAATTTTTCAGGGGAAAAATCGGATTATTGCGAGTTTAATGGTGACATAAGGATCCATGGAAATTCTTCCTCCATCTTTTTCAACTCACCTCAACTAGAAAACATAGAGTTACAACAAAATAGGACTTGGGGTATCAAAATTTATGCTCGAAAAATAGACGAGTATGTCATGGGACAGGCAAAAGAGTTGAAGCTTAAACCAGTATCATCAGTACAAGAAATGCCTAAATGTACTGTAAATCATTCAGTTCCGGCCATTGTGTTCTCGACTGGTGGGTATGGAGGCAACATCTTCCACGACACGAGTGATATCTTGATACCCCTTTATCTTACATCCCTGCATTTCAACAGGGAAGTTCAATTCTTAATACAAGATAAGCATTATTACTGGAATGAACGGCACAAAGTTACACTGAAGGCACTGTCTAAGTACGAAATTATTGACTTAGATCATGACAAAGAGATCAGATGTTTTAATAATGCAATTATTGGTGTTAAATCTCACCGAGATTTTGGTATTGATCCTGAGAAATTACCATATGGACTGACATTAAGGAACTACACACAGTTCACAAGGAAAATTTATTCGTTACAGAGGGATACCGCGATTCAGATGACTGCAGAGGATGACAGGAAGCCGAGGTTACTGATCATTTCTAGGAAGAAAACTCGAACCATATTGAATGAAAATGAGATAGTAGCCGAAGCTCAAAGATTAGGCTACGATGTAGTGGTTATCGATGCACGAATGAACCTTAAGAACTTCTCCAAGATAGTAAATTCTGCTGATGTGATGCTTGGTGTTCATGGAGCAGGACTAACTAACATTCTTTACCTCCCCGAAAATGCTGTCCTGATTCAGGTAATTCCTATAGGACTGCAGTCGGTGTCGGAGATCTTTTACGAACGTCCTGCTAGAAATATGAGTCTCAAGTACTTGGAGTATGAGATTAGTGTAAGGGAAAGCAGCCTCATTCAACAATATCCGATTAAACATCAAGTAATTACAGACCCGGAAATAGCTAAAAAGGCGGGTTGGCCCGAGTTTAAGAAGATTTATTTGGATAATCAAGATGTGAGGTTGGATATGAGAAAGTTTAGAACAGTTTTGGTAAAAGCGTTGGAACTTCTTCGTCAATGAAGCTTAAGATATGTGCACATTTGTAATCTATTGTGAATTAAGCTTCCTTGTGCAACATTGTAAATGCAAATACTTGTAAATGCTTAAAATAGTGATTAGCAAATGAATTTGGAACAAAATTTATTTTGTATTGTTATACAAAACTAGTGACTAAATGTGTCAAGAAATGTTAACACAAGTGTACATTTCATTAGGACATTAGTTCAAATGTGTTGGTGAAATTCAAGTTTCGGATGATGAAATCACACAGTTACGGTGTTACATCAACGAATATGTGGTCAATTTTCCCACTTAACCTTTCGAATTTACGACAAAGCCCCCAAATAATTCATGACAATATCGATTTTACCATGTTAATTAATATATTCCGTCAACCAAATAGATCAACTAGTACTTTTCTCAAATAGGTGAACTAATCTTTAGAATGTGTTAGTGATAGACTGATAGGGTGATAGTTTATTCGAAAAAAAATGTGTTAGTGATTAGGAATGACTATGGATCGGATTCAGAACGGATTATACAAGTGCAATAGCAAAAACCAACTAAAATCATATTTCAGTAGGATCCAAATCTAACTCGGATTATTATTTTTTTCACGGACTCTCAGCAAATTTTTCTGCTCGGATCAAGATGGAATAGGGTCGAATCCGGTCTAGATTGTCAAGCCATAGGTGAAGTGATCTCCCCACCAAGAATGAGATTGAAAAAACAAACAAACAAAAATCGTTCCTTTTTCCAATTGTCACCAACGGACCAACCCCATAATCATATGAATCCAATCCAAAATAAAATCAAATGAAATTCACTCAATAATCTCAACATCAGATAAACAACTAGAGGAACACCACTTTCCTCTAAACCTCACCTCTCATTCCTCACTCACCTTCAAACCTCTTCAATGGCGTCCGCCACTTTCTCTCTCCTCCCTTCCACCTCCATCTCCCCCTCCACCAAACTCCTCAACCTCAAATTCCGCCATTACCAGACCTCAAAACCCTTCTTCTCCACCACCATCAAATCCCTCTCTTCTCCCACCCCAACTCCCACCCTCTCCCAAGACGATCTCAAGAAACTCGCCGCCGAAAAAGCCGTTGATTCCATCAAATCCGGCATGGTTCTCGGCCTCGGAACCGGGAGCACCGCCGCATTCGCCGTCGCCCGAATCGGGGAGCTTCTCTCCTCCGGTAAACTCACCAACATTATTGGAATTCCGACTTCGAAACGCACCCAAGAACAGGCTGCGTCTCTGGGTATTCCGCTTTCGATACTTGATGATCATCCTCGCATTGATCTTGCTATTGATGGGGCTGATGAGGTTGACCCTGATCTTAATTTGGTGAAAGGGCGAGGTGGGGCGTTGTTGAGGGAGAAGATGGTTGAAGCTGCTAGTGATAAGTTTATTGTGGTTGTTGATGATACTAAGCTTGTTGATGGTTTGGGTGGTAGTCGTCTTGCTATGCCTGTTGAAGTTGTTCAATTTTGCTGGAAATATAATCTTAAGAGATTGCAGGCATGTTTCTTTCTTACTACTCATTTAATGTTTTGTTGTATGTTATCGGTGATGTAGATGAGATTCGATATTAGGTGTTGGGTACCAATGAGTAGTACTAATGTACTATACTCGTGACTTTAACCAATTAAAATAGTTGGTATATGCCCGAGTTTTAAAATGTAGCTATATATATTATTAATTTAATGTTGTTGTAGATATAGTTCATGTGGTTGTGACAATTTGTTCAAAATTGCGTTTTTAGTGTGCTTTTATGGTTAATTTGGTCCTTTATACAAATTAATCGAGTAATTAATGTTTGAGTAAGATAAGGGAAATTAAGGGGGTACTATAATGTTCAATTTGATGGCATTGATTGTTGGATCATGGAACAATGAATTTGTGGCCTTTAGTTCATGGTATCTTTTGGTTGGGCGGTGGAAGCTCTACCATTGAGCTCGGACTTGATCGTCGAAGGTCAAGTGATATAGAATAAAGAGTGTATTTGTGTGTGCTGCATTTCAGGCTACAGAAATCAGTCTATCATTATAAATGTAGACTCAAATTAGACATGAGCTCTCTTTTGATGGTTTAATTAATTATTTCTATCGATGATACATGGGTACATTAGAAGATTTCATCAGTAATAAATCCCATACTTTGATGAATGAGCGTAAATGTTGATTTTTTATTGGCATGAGTAGAAACCTGTATAGGTTTTGTTGATGATCAAAAGGATTAGTCTATGTTACTTGGACTCAAGTACTTATATTGGCCATGAGTTTATGTCTTCATTGTCCTGACTCGGCTTTTTATGAAAACATTTCATGATTTTAGCTGAAATTAAGTGTCCAATGTCATAGTGTCAAGGATCCTTCATGGATATATGTCATGAAATAAAGAATCTCAGACTTTGGGTGATATAAACATTAGTTCATTTCTATGGCTGTGAACAACTTGCAGTTGAAGTTATTTTTTATAAAATTTTGACTTATCCTTGTTTATATTTGAGAGTAGCATTTGTAGATTCCCTCAGACAAGCATTTGTTATGCAAGCCTGTTTATATCTTTGCCTGTACTTTCTTGGTTGCAGGAGATCTTTAAGGAGTTGGGTTGTGAGGCAAAGTTGAGAATGGACGGGGATGCCAAGCCTTATGTGACTGACAACTCAAATTACATCGTGGATTTATACTTCCCAACATCCATCAAGGATGCTGAAGCTGCAGGGAGGGAAATTTCAGCCTTGGAAGGTGTAGTGGAACATGGGTTGTTCCTTGGTATGGCTAGTGAGGTCATCATTGCTGGGAAAACTGGAGTAACTGTGAAGACCAAGTGATCTCCATTGGTTGATGGATTCCGGGTATGGAATAGTCTCCTTCTCCCAGCAATAACTGCTTATTCTTCATCTCTACGAATGTTCTCTCACTTCCTGTTATGTTAGATGGGCATCTTTGGTCTGGTTTGATATTTTTGCATCTTGCTGTATCTAATTATTGTTGTGATGTTATTTAGTTGTGTTATGAAGTGTAGATGAGAATCAATGCTGAGATACAGAGATAACTTATTGAATTGTGTACATTACGCTTTGGTGCAATAAAAATTTCCGACTCTTAAATTCATGAAGTTCTGATTTCTACATCTTGTCAGTTTTGATCCTGAACATGCATTCCTGTTGATGGTTGTCAACTTCCTTTCAATGTTTTACATGATGTAAAAATTGTTAGTTCGATCTAATGTCTGTTATCTTGACTTCTGGAAATGGCATGTGTAAACAATCTCCAATGTAGCAGCATCAAAATTTTATAGGTAGGTCAATATCCAGAAGTTGCTCTTTTTATTTACATTGGAAGTTGCTCTTTTTTTTTTCTTTTTTTTTTTTTTTTTTTTTTTTTTTTTACATTGGATATGTTTTAGGGTTGAGAGAGATAGAATCACCATGAATGTAATCTGGAGTCCATTTGATTGAGTGCATTGAAATTTTTTAGACACTACCAGCATACTAGTCAACAACCACCACCCCTCAAAAAATTACCACTACCATGTATCCTGTGTATGGTGGGTTTAGGAAGGTCTATATTAACTCAAAACATTCGCGCAAGACATTTTTGGAAGGAGTATAATTGTTAGGAAAGTTAAAATTTAACATGCAGAAAATTGCAATACTAATATTATTTTACGGTTACCCATACTAATGGACTAAAAGTGATAGTAGACTAACAGTACATAAGCCTTTATTTATTGTAACAATAGTGGTACAAAATCGTATTTCATAAATAATGTTAATTGCTGAAAGTAGCAGCAGTAATAGAATATATAAGCATCACCTCATATATGCTGGCACTCTCTCTTTGATTCTATGTATGTGTTGTGTGTGTGTGTGTGTGTTGGGGGAGGAGGTGGTTCTGGGGAAGAGTATGAGTATCACAATAAAAAAAATCATAATCGATGGCGGCTGAGAAACATCATTGCCATAATATCACAGCGAGAGATATCACTGTTATAACAATCCAGTTGAGCTTCCATGATCGCATCCCTGTTATGGATGAGTAAAAAAGGGGATTAATAAGACAATATATCTATGTTATAAGTACTAAAGCAACAACATTTGAATAAGGCTGTAAACTTTTTCTACTAGTTTGCCTACCATGGAAGACCCCTTTTTATTATCTGAAGTTATTGAAGCTCTCTGTGAATCATTTGTATTACCGTGTAATTCTTAGGAATCCTATGTGATTCAATTGAATTATTTTCTTCAGTTTCTATTCCTTCCATTCCTTAAGTTTCTTGTCGGGAATGTAAAATAGACAAGTATGCTGCATTATAGTGTTAAATAAAATTTACATGTAATATGGAATATTACATTTGTATATGGTACCCTAGAGTGACAAGTATTATGAAATAATAATAAAGTGAATTAGTAATAAGGAACAAAGGATGATAGTATTTATCTTTTCCAAAACGTACTGGCCAATTTTAGCTATTAACAGCACTTGTGATAACTTAAAGATGCAGGAGTAAAGGGAAATTTTCCTATTTTTTGGTTGATATTCAACTCACCATGGTTTTCACTTCTTGAAGTCTGACTGATACTTGAACTAGGACCTAGTGTAACGGATGTCTTTGAATTACTTGTTACATTGATTCCTAGCTTGGAGCAATCAGATCCGAAAGCACCTACAAAACCAACAATCAAAAATGCTAAACTGAGGAATTTTCTTTTAACAGCATGCAAGTAGTTAAATGCATTCCTATAAAGCTCTTACAGTCACTGTAACATGGGAAGTGTGACACATTGAAGAGATTGTAGGATCCTGGTTGACATTCACACGAATGCTTGTAGTCTGATGAGTTTGTGCATGTCCCTTCGCCACAGTAGACCCAATAGCAAGCTAGAACATCAAAATCTCACGTTAGAAACTTTGATTAATCATATAGTTTATTGGATAAATAGAGTGTTGTTTATACTTACGATTAAAGATAGCGGTGTCGAATGGCTTTGTGGGGATGGGTGGCAATGGAGCAGGAGCTGGCATGCAGGAGTAGTTTATAGAACCTGTTTAAGATGTTCATTTTCCCATTTAGAAAGATCACAATTTGCTATCAAGCAGTTTCATCATAACAAATACAGAACCAAGAATAGACATTAAAAAGAGGAGTCTTTCATCAAGTATTTGTGCATGTTTAATAAGAGTTATTTAGCCTTTTCTGATCTATGCACTTGTCTTGAGATTGTTTGTTGCTTCTTAATTTTGAATTTTTTTGGTAACCTATCTGCCTATGTTGTATTACTCTTAAAATCTCTTTCTATGTTACCTAGACTAGTTTTTAAATCAAATTTGTAACGAGGTAAAATTTGTGCCTGCAGACCTTGAAATAAATTAGTTGCTTTTAATATATTGCTAGATGCATTTGTTTTGGTGTTTCCCCTAATTTTCCTTGTTTTACACTGATTGTGCTTCTTTCCATTTTGAAATATTTCAAATTTGTTGCTCTAATTATAAGATTTTTCTTATGCTTTTAATGTTTTTTCAGTAAAAACTACTTATATTGATTCTTTCCCACCTTTCTTGATCAGTGAGCACTACTTCCTTTTCTCTGCCTCTGTCTTTTCTTTTAGTAAGAGGTTCTTTTCTTTGAGGTACTCACTACCATAGAAAGCCAAGAACTATGGAAGATGAACCCTTTTAAAGAAGTAAAACTTACAATTTGGTATTATACATGGAAGAAATTGGAGATATTGTTCCTCACTGTCTGATAGACGTGTTCTTCTCCAACCTGAATCACATTCACAAGTGAAACCATGTGGTACGTAGTCTGGTTTTGATTTGCACGTTCCTTTCCCGCAACTTACCTGACTGCAAATTTCTGTTATCATAAATAAAACATCAGATAACATGACAGCAACTTTAATATCGTGTGCTGAGTTTGTAGTAGATTAGAAAAATCAGGTTAGATTCTACTGTAGGGAGAGTTGTTTACCTGAATCTCCTAAAGCAGTGGCTGCGAGTGAGATTAGAAGTAGAGCTGCAAATGCTATTAGACTGGAGGAAGCCATTGATTATTGTTTGATTATCATGTAAATAAGAGAATACAAGTTGGATGTAGTCGGTTTGTTGCCAAAGTTGCAGGTGAAATTTATAGGACAGCTGAGAGGCTTAGAGCTAAGGAACAAGATTATGCTATATATAGGATAATTTTCTTCATGGCAGGTTGTGTAAAAAGCTTACTAAAAACATAGTTGTAGGACTGTAGGAGTTTTGTTTTTTCTTTTCTCAGTTCCTAACCCCTCCTTTTTTCGTCCGTGTTTACTTTGAAAATTTGAAGAATTTGATGCAGGTGCTTCTAGTAGTTTGAAGGATTTTTCAAACACATTCAATTTTTTAGTTTGATGTTTATACTTTATATTATGACTTGCATGCTACATTGGTTTTTCTAATATCCTTTGTCTTTCGTTGACAAAATTCAGTTAACTTATAGATATAAGCAGCTACTTCATTTTGAAAATTGCTTCTTTGAAGGTTTCTTGTGAACTTTTTTTATATATTATGTTGAAATGTTGAATTGACATGAAAGCTGAGCAGAAGTCAGCTAAATGACGAGTGTAAACAACGGTTAACGGTACCTGCCCCAACTTTCCAAAGTGAACGCAGACATTGTTGTGTTTTTGGATCTTGGTTTCTTTTGTTTTTTCTTTTAGTTCATTTATTTAGTCATTAATTATTATTTCTTAGATTTTTTTTTTTTTTTTTTTTTTTTTGTGAGGGTGGTTGTAAGGAGAAGGGCTCTATCGAGCCGGAACCTCTCACATATCCTTTCATGTTTTGATTTCAATTTGGCTACAAATCACATCACAAACCAAACTTTCACCCCTTATCGTGCAAGGATTAGAACTAGACATTTAATTGGGTCTTGAATATAAAACTGACATGTATATGGATCAAACTCAACCTCTTAAGAACAACCCAAGCATTGACAATTGCTCCCTTATTTTGTCCTGTATCTCCATAGGCTGAAAACATCAATGATCAATACCATGAAAACGTACAGAATTTTCTAGCATATGTTGGCTTTAGGTAGCACAACATTACAATTATGTTGGATAATCTAGAAGAGGAATGAGCATTTCGGAGCAGCCGAGCAGGTTTGAATGTCAATGCCCTTCAACCCCTAACTTCGTTGTATCTGGTCGAGCTACAAAGAATTCATCATGCATGCGCGTCCTTTGTGCAAAAAAAAATTTCAATTTCTTCTTTTCGATGAACATTGAAGGTTCATAGTGTTAGTCTGTTAGACCTTCCAAAATGAAATTGTTGTACATGCCATTGTGAACTTAAAATTAAATTGTACTAATTAAAATTAAATTTTAAAATTGTTAACTTGTATGCGAATTTGTACATATTTGCGTCCTTAATTAAAATATTTACGAATCATAGATAAGAAATATCTTAACTTTATCGGGAACTCCAAATTTGCATATGATAGGGTAATTTAAGCTGCCCTAGCTATTCAATTGCTTAGTCAATAGCAGCAAAATTTGTGCATATTGTCCAATAATTTTCCTATGATATCCAAATGTTTTTAGGAAACCGCCAATCAACTAATCAAGCATTCTCTCACATTGTCTATATGCCTTTTTTTTTTTTTTTTACTTGTAACAGTTTGACTTATACACTATTTATAAATCTCACTTTGACTAGCTTTGATAATTTATAGGTTACGAAAAATATAGTCATGTATTTGTCAAAAAAATATAGTCATGTATAATCTTGTTATACTCGCTTCGATTTATACTTTCATAATATCAAATTTTAATAATTTTAACATATTGGTAATCAAAAATATTAACGATTGAAATAATGAATTGACAAGTATGGAAAGAGAAATGTTGCAAGTATTAAGAAACAGAAGAAGTAAAATGCGGATTACACTCTTGCTAGATATTAATGCCAGAAGTAATTAAGTATGTCCCTATTGATTTCCCAAATTATGGGTTTATTATAAAAAGGGAAATTCCCATTGGTACACCCGTGGTTTTGACTTTTCCCATTGATACACTCCAAAAATTTTGCCTTCCCATCGGTACACCCAAGGTTTAGTCTTTTTCCCAACCGTGACTAACACCGTTAAAAAGTATTTCATTAAGTTAAAATAATTAAGGAAAAGACTAAAATACCCCTTTTAAATATCTAATGTCTCGATTTGCGTGTCGAAAATTGTTCGGTTAAAGTTTTGGAAGTCATGTTAGTCTTTAAGGATCTAAACCTCGAAATTAGCAAAAAAAAAATAGCGCAAATGTCTCATGTGCGTGTCAAAATTGTCTCGGTTGCGTGCCATTACTTTTTTGTGATAGTAATTGTTCGGTTAATGTTTTAGGGGTCATTTTGACCCTTTAAGGGTCTAATTAAATCGAACTCAAAATTGTAAAAAAATTAACGAAAATGTCTCGTTTTGCGTGTCATGACAAAACAAAAAAGAAATATCATGACGTGCAAAATGATATATTTTTGTTAATTTTTTGACTATTTCGAGTTCGATTTAGACCCATAAAGGGTCAAAATGACTCCTAAAACCTTAACCGAACAATTATTATCACAAAAAAGTAATGGCCCGCAAATCGAGACTTTTTGACACGCACATGAGACATTTGTGTTATTTTTTTTGCTAATTTCGAGGTTAACTTGGATCCTTAACGACTAGGACTCCCAAAACTTTAACCGAACAATTTTCGACACGCAAATTGAGACATTAGATGTTTAAAAGGGGTATTATAGTCTTTTCCTTAATTATTTTAACTTAATGAAATACTTTTTAACAGTGTTAGTCACGGTTGGGAAAAAGACCAAACCATGGGTGTACCGATGGGAAGGCAAAATTTTTGAAGTGTATTAATGGGAAAAGTCAAAACCACGGGTGTACCAATGGGAATTTCCCTTATAAAAATAGATTATTGTCAAAAAAAAAAAAAAAAAAAAAAAAAGAGGGGGGGGGGGGGTAAACTTACAATGGTTAGAATGAAACAATTCACCAAGGATATGATTAAAATCTGAAGGCATATCCCAACTAAAATCAAGCTAAGTTTTCCAAAGTGGTTAATCTCTCTCCTAACTAATCTGAAAGTTGTTAGAATGAAACATTTCATCATTTGTGATGTGTTTCTCCTTCACAAAAATAAAAAATAAAATTGTCATTTTTTTCAATCACAAACACTGAAACACCGAGATAATACGATAGAATTGACAAAGTAAGCACATAAAATAGAAGGAAGGATGATTTTTTATTAATTGATGAAGAAGAAAAAGTAACAAAAAGAGCTGAGCTTTCGAGAGGCTCAGATTTCCCCAAGGAAAACAAAATTGTAGTAACCTAATGAATACCCACTGTTATTGTTGCTCTGCCTCCCATTTCTATGAACATTCTGATGAAGTTCCAGCCATCTCAGTAACAGCGATTTCCAAGGTGCTTGCGTCTTGCATGTCAGCAAAGTTGCTTGGCTAGGTGAGTACAACCACTTCCGAAGGTCAAGGAGGGGAGCAGGGAAGTTGGAATGCTGCTTTATCCAGAGTAACACTTGAGATCTCAAGTTGAGGCCTTGAAGTACTCCCTTCTATAGACAGATAACAAAAGTAATACAATATATAACCCAAAAAAAATGTATATATACTCGAGGAAGTCCAAGGGGTAAGTAAGACTGCTGCAATTTACAACTTGAGATAAATTAGATACTCTCTACGCACATGGTCAAAACAAAAAGAATTATGTATATCTGAAAGAATTATCATGTTTGTCAAGATGATGGTTACAAAGGTAGATCCAGCATTCAGCTGGAAAAAGAACGCGTTAAATGTGTATTTCTCACAGGATAATTTGGATAAATGATCCGATCCCCTATCCTCTGCAAATACCTGGTCATTTCTAAAAGCTGGAGAGGTCAAAATTATTAACAGATGCATATGCTTAAAAACCTGTCAACAAGTGGTATCAGCAGCAGCAGGCCCTCATTGGAGCTTTTCTGTAGGCCGAGAACAGATGAAACCAATATTGACAAACTAAATAAACTAAACTTCCTCGCTGAAATTATTAACTAACTTTCCTGCTTTGGTGAGGTCTCTTTGAAACTCTTGGACAACCAGATAGCAGTTTCCCTCGGAGAAACCTTTTCTAGTCCAAATGGTTTCAACAAAACACCAAGTTCGTCAAACCTCTCCTGTTGCAACAACTTTGCGCTGAACTCTAGCAACCCCTCTAATGCATCCGCCCGCTGTTGATAAGAGGATGTGTCAAATCGATTGCGTCGCATGTCTGATGAAGCATGGCTTGAAGCACCAGCTGTAGCATTTTGATCTGAGGAATTAGCATTATCCTTCCCTTCTCCATGTACCTTGTTGTCCCGAATACTCTCCCACATTCCATCAAAGTTCTTTTTGGACATTCCTATATCACAAAATTTAACAGAGAATTTGTCCTTAGTGATGGAACAGCCACCATAGACTGGGGATGATGAACCCTGTCTGGAGATCATTGAACTCCTTTGGTTTAGGAAGAATGACTCCTCATACGACGCTAATGGGAATTCAGCTATCTTATCAATTCGAGGTGAGTTGACAGAAATATCTGGAGATTTGATTCTCTTTAGGACGTCCACAGCAGGTCTGCAAGGTGGTTCATAAACTGCAGCTCTAGTAGCTAACGGCATAGATGCTCTTCGAGTGCGGTTTGCAGAAACAGATCGTTTCACAGGAGTGCGTAAAGGAGGCTGCAGGCATCAGAAAAAAGATAAAAGTCTTTAAGCTAGAAAATTAAGCAATGCTCCCACTAAATAAGCACAATAATGCTTGCCCAAACACTCTGCAAAACCAGTATAGTAGTAGTAGTACAATCGGCTATAATATATTAGTGAATATGCTAGAAGTAAAAATGCAATATAATTGTTCAACTGCATTCTGGCAATGGAGATGAATCAGATAATATTCCATCAATCAGATCAAATATTAACATTTTACTCCACACCTAAACTACATCAAATGAGGTGCGAACATTAAAATTTACCGATTGTTGATGTCTCGACTGCTCTGGTCGTCTTTTATTAGTGCCAAATGTTTTTGCTCGTGACAATTTAGGATTCCTTGCAACATCTGAAACTTTTGAAGAAACCGGTTCGATACCAGCGGCTCTTCTAAAGGGATCTTGAGCCTTTAATTTAGCCAACCTTCGTTCCAGATCAGACAATGTAGGTTTTATTCTGTCATCGGTGTAAAAGGAATCTAGCTCAGCTTCTGATATACTGGGATCTGCAGTCCTTTCATCTTCTGCTTCTGGTAATGTTGCTTTATCTATACAATTAGAATCGGTATCGTCCCAGTTATCATCAACAGCATCACATCTAGCCAATCTAGGATTCCTAGTCTGAAGATGAATCTTTTCAACATAAGGTTGAAGATGGGGGTGCCTGAGCAACTCAGCAGCCTGTTAGAAGAAACAATTATGTGCAGAGATTAGTCAATAAAACCTAGTAGACAAGTAATAACATGGACACAATTTTTCAACTAAATATCTTTTACTTGCAGCACACAGTATTTGGCAGTTGTCCACTTGTCCCCACATAAATATACTTCCAATTAGTAGAGTATACCCACAAAGTATCCTCAAATGTTTTACTTTTAATAAATTTAAGGACTAGGGCATTAGATAGGTTATGACCTAGTGGGGTCTATCTCAAATGTATAAAACACCATACTGCA